AGTACCACTTTTCTTTTAAAAATAAATAAAAATTCATATTTGTTTTGGTACTACCTCGTCCTAAGTAGAAATTAGAACTATAGGGAATGAAAAATGATAGTTTTATTTTGGGCCTTGAGAACCCAATAGGAATAATTTCCCTGTAGTACATAGCTTTCTTTTCTTTTTGGGCCACTCTTTTGGGCTTAGCCAAACTAAAACAGTTACGTTTCTCAAACCAAATGAAACTGGTTTTCAAATTGGAACAGTTTCAATCCATTGGTAACTGGTAAAAGATTCCTTTTACTTTTCAACTTCTTGGAAGTTGAAACTCCTTTACTCTCACCGTTCCAACTACCCACTTAATGGAACCCGTGAACCTCCTCCTCCCCTATTTAAATCAAGATATGCCAATCCATTTCCATCACAAACAACTCTCAAAATAAGAAAGTTTTCAAGTTCACTGTCTGAGAAAAACACCAAGAAAATATCCTCAATGGAGAAATTTCTCTTTCTCACCCTCATAGACGGCAATGGAGAAAAGCCTAGTGAGAAAGGAAAGTAATTCAAAGTTTATGGTGCAATTCTCGGCAGTAGAGAAAGTTTATGGTGTAATTCTCGTATTTTTCAGGATTATACCATACACTTTCTCTGGAACAACACTCTCTCTATTTTTTTCTTTTTATTTTTACCTTGATCTCTTTCCCCTCCCCTTTCCTTTCTTTACTTTTTCTAAATCTTTTTTTTAGCAGTCCCCCCAATTTTCTTACAAGTTTTTTTGGGTGGTACCTCTGCTCCCTTCTCTCAAGGAGTTCTCAAAATTTTTTCTAGAACTCTTTTTCAAAATTTCTTTTAAAATTTTTTTTTTCATCTTTAAAAACTTTATTTTATCTTTTTCACAATCAATTCTCTTTTCCAAAACCTTTTCCTTTCTTGTCATTTTATCTCTCTTTTGTTTTATTATTTCATTTTTTTTGAGAGATGTGTTGCTTCCTAGATCTTGGTTATCCACTTTGGATAAGAAAGATCTATCAAACGCAACGCCAACCGCTCTGCCAAGCAGAATCTGCTGGAGCTGAAAACGGTCAATGGCGGAAGATATCACAAAATCTCAAGACAAGACTTCGTTTAGGAATTATTGTAATTTGAATTGTATCTGTTTAAGAGTTTTTGTTAACAAGCTGTATGTTATGAGAAACTAAAAGAAAGTTATAAAATTAGTTCTCAGTACAGCGACCGGAACTCTTAAACACTTGTCTGTCATCATCCAAAAGGGGGAAATTGTTGGGAAAAATATTATAGATTTTGATGATGATGTATTTAGAATGTATTAGGGACTTTAGGTCTCCCCAAATATTCAATGTAATTTTTCTTTTTAGAAATACTGTCAAAACCGAGCACTTGAGATTTCCAATAAAAGCTATGATATATCTTTAAGCGTTTTGATGCCTGAAGACTTAATCAAATTCAGTGATATGGAAATCGGATATCTTGTTCGGAAATGTCAGAGACAAGTAAGGATTTTCTCAAGCAAACGAAAATCCTCTGATCCGGAAGACTACATAAGAACCGGATGTCTCGCTACAACCCGCTGAAGTCTAAGTCATCCAAATCGGAAGACTAGCGCGGATCTCCTTCTCACCCGGAAGTCTGAAAATGACTCATCCGGATTTGTCAGCTAAGAATCGGAAGACTCACTGAAGACCGGAATTCTCAGAAAGCGGACAAGTGAGAAAAGACTTAGAAAAATTATCTAAGTCCTGAATGAAGAAATTCTACTCGTTGGTAAGGAAAAATCAATCTCTTGATTTTCAACGGCTATATTGAAGATAATTATGCTGATTCAAGAACAAATGACTCGAAGACAAAGTCTGGCCCTCTAAATTGAAGAGCCTGTCCAGAATTCCTAAACAAGCACAAGAAGACAAACAGAGTAAAGTGCTACAGTTNTACGTTGATACAACAACACAACAAAGAAAACTTCCAAGCTATCTCATTCACAGTTAGCACAAAAAGCTTGATAAAGAGAGATTTCTAAACTCCTTATCCAGAAGCAAACTCCTCCTCCTTCCAAAGAGCTATAGTGCAAACACTTGAAGGTTTCCTTGCCTCAAGCACCACACCACGTTGAAGGATACAACTTTTTGATCAAACTTCTTGATTAAAAAGGGGGTAGGTCAACTTTCTTACAAGTTGATCTTGCAAGTCCTATTGTTCGGATCTTGCAGTTGTTGAAGAAGCGTGACCTTCGAAGGAACAACAAAGCCAGCACGAGTGCAGTAGCAACATTGGTCTTGCGAAGATATACCGTGCAGAAATTCACACAAGTGTAATTGTTGGTTCATTATTCAACAACCAACTACATAGTGGATTTTGAGGACGTAGAAGGATTACCCCACCTTCGAACCTCGTTAAAGTTTGCGTGTCTCTCTCTTTTATCTTTACTCTAACTTGCAATTACATTAACTGTGAAAACTAACCCATCCATATTGATTACTGCTCACTCTACCCACCAAATTCCGCACACAATCTAAAGTTCTCAAGAACTCTAGATTAACACTTATTTTCACGTTTTTCAAAAGAAACGAAAAAGATTTTAAATTTGTAACAAAGTCTATTCACCCCCCCCCTCTAGACTTTGTATCTCACCACTTTGGGACCACCATTACCAGTTCAGTGGGACCTGATGGATTCACCTTTGATCAGATTCGAGATCTCGTTCTTGACAAGGATGTCAGAAGAAAGAGTTCGGGGGAGTCATCTGGTGAATTGCTTCATGTTGGTAGAGGTAGAAGAAATAGCAGAGGTAGTGGGAGCAAGAACAGACAAAGGAGTCAGTCGAAGACTCGTGACAGCTCAGGTGTAACATGCTGGAAGTGCAAGGAGGTGGGGCATTATAGGAATCAATGCCCGAATGGCAAGAAAGCGAACATTGCTGAAGGCTCTGCGAGTGACGAGGAGGTCACTTTGACTTGCTGTGAGGAAAGCAATGTGGATTCCTGGGTCATGGATTCTGGTGCTTCATTTCATGCCACCCACAGCGGTGAAGCATTGCAGAATCTGGTTATTGGAGACTTTGGAAAGGTACGACTAGCAGACGACAGAGCTCTTGAGGTGACGGGCATGGGTGACATGGTGTTGAAGACCTCAGTCCGTCCCTGGACTTTGAAGGATGTCATAGTAGTTCCAGCCTTGAAGAAAAGTTTGATTTCTGTCAGGCAGTTGGACGAACAAGGACACGAGGTAAAGTTCAGAGATGGGCAGTGGAAGGTCGTGAAGGGAAATCTTGTCATGGCCCGCGGAAGGAAGAGTGGTTCGTTGTATATGGTCGAGTTACCATCTGAGGGAGTGACCGTCCCAGATCAGAAAAGAAACAAAGTCCGGTTCATAGAGTCTCGTGGGCAGAAGAAGGTTGTCTTTGCAAGAGAGGAACCTAGAGCCACAGGTCAGACTCAGGTTGGACGAGCGAGGAAAGTTTCAAGGAGGCCAGTTAGAGGTATCTGTGGCAGTGGGAGCATAGGTGGTGCTTCAGCCAAGTTTCCTAGAAGACAGTGGGTCAGAAGAACCAGTATTCCAGCTGTTGGAACATCTCTAGAAAATTTCTTGCTGAGTACGGAGAGTGTTTGTTCTCAGGATGTTCCAGAATCCGGCAGTGTGCATCTGCAGTGGGAGCCGGTAGGGACCGAGGACGAGTTAGGGGCAGATTTTGCCGTGACTGATGTGTTGGAGCTTGGAAGAGCTTCAACGGGCCTTTCAGTTGTCTGATGAGAGGGCCGCTGCAATAGGAGAGCTGTGGAAGATTACTCGATGTACAGGAAATCGTGGTGGATGGAAGTTGATGACTATCAAGCCTCTAAGTGGGAGAATGTTGGGTTTGTGGAGGCTTGGGCTTGATTTGTTGGCCCGGCACATGTTATGTAACCCTAGGTTTTTTGTTTCTCCTATATATTTAGCCCTTGTACTTGTAATTCCGGTGAGACACGACAAGTGAAATAGAAATCCTCCTGTTGCAGCCGTGGATTAGGGAAACCGAACCACGTTAAATTCTTGTGTGTCGTCCGTGTTCCGTTTCTCTCGTTTCTCACAGATTATTTGTGTGTGTTGTGTGTTTAATTCCCAACAAAATTGTTACGAGGAGTAAGGCTAAAATCCTTGAGCAAGGAAGGAAACTTAATCCTATTGGGTGGATAGAAGAAGAAGACTTGATGGATCCCCAGGAATCACATGAAGTCGAGGTTATCAAATTCTTCAAACTTTGTTGTCCTCACAAGATCGAAAATCCTAAACCGATTAGCAAACCTCTAACCAAAACTCAAAAGAAGAAAATGAAGAAGAAAAAGAAGCAGTCTCATCTCTCCGACTACGGTTTTGAGGATGAGATTGAATATTCTTACTGATTGTCCTGCAGTTTAAGTGATATTTGCCTTCCCTGGTGTGCTAGCATTGCTGTGGAAATAGCTGTGACATTGCACATGATGTTGGAAGCTGTTTTAAGGAAAAGGGACCTGCACTGGATTTTGGTATAGGACTACGCTGCTGGTTACTCTAGTTTAGATTCATGCTCTTGTTCTTGTCTTGGTTTTGTCTCTGTTTTGTTATGGTCATTGCTTTGTTTTAGCTCATTGGTTGCCTTGAATGGTACTGGAGTGCACTTGGGTTTTTAAAAGGCTTTTGAATGGTTATCATGGAAGGTGTTCTCTTTGGGAACTGCCATTTTTTGGCATGGACTTGATAAGGGCTTGTAAAGGGTTGCAGGGAATAATGGTGACTTTGAAATCTCCTCTTGATATTGCTGGGTATTTGGTCATGGGGCTGCGTGTTACACATAGTCCTGTAACAAGCTTGAAGAAGTTTTGAGGCTACCACCTGTTGCTTCAAGACAAGCAGAGGTGCCTGCTGTTCAAAATGCTATGAAGTAAGAGGTTGAGGTCACCAGAGGCTCCTGTTGATATTCCGGTAGGTGACCTTGCATCCCCAACATCAACACTACAGATGGGCAGCATTTCTTCCTTTTGGAGCTGTTTCATGTGCTTAGCTAAAATTGCAGGGCAGAACTTAGTGACACCATATCAGGACATTTGGGCAGACAGCCTTTTGCTCTCCTCATGGAATTGTTTTAGTGTTTGTCTAGATGCTCTTTGATTTAGATTGGTTTGGATTTTTTATCTCTTGGCTTGTAGTAATTACCTTTTTTTTGGACAACTTGTAGGGATCCGTCCCATCCCCCCCTTTGTACTTTTTCCTTTTTTAATAAATATCCTTTTCCAAATATATATATATATATTTTTTAGAAGTAACGAACAAAATAAGAAAAATAACAACGAGCTAAAGTAAACAGACTCTTGCAGCCAGCTAATGAACACCCACTTGTCTTGCTGGCATCAAAGTTTGTTGTCTTTCTATTGAAATCCCTACAACTGAATCTTCCGGTTGAGATTAATGGCATGCTAAACTCAAAGTATATCCTGATCTCCATCCTCAAAATGATCGAATTGAGCACATTTGATTCTTTAGCACAGCATGCCAAAGAGTTTGATTTCCATAAGCATCCCACAGTATTGCTATCAAACAATCTGCTGATCCTTCTCAAAACCCCAAGACTTAAAGCTTTCAATCACTAATAAACAGCAAAGAATCTGCAGATCAATCTCCAAACCCAAAAACTTAGAGAAGAAAAACCAGGGACCATGAAGGTGAAATCCTGTTGACATCTTTGCAACAAAAAGCCTTAGAGACACTAGATGAGAGTGTTGGATGAAAGAAAACCCCATACTGGAGAATAAAAAGATTAGAGGAAACCATCTTGAAAATCATCCCAGTTCTGATCAACCACTTTAGCAAGCTTAGCCTTCTTTTTTGCTTTCCTTTTCTGGCTTCGGGTAAGGGGTTGAAGGGGGGTTTCAGGAGCAGCCTCCTTCTTAACCAGACAGCTGAGTTTGAAGGCTTGAATAATATCATTAGCGAAGGAATTGTTCGAGTCATCAGATTCATCTAACAAGCCCAACGAAGTTTTTTTCCTACCTTCTGAAAGAAGCCTCGCTTTACTTCGTGTGACCATTTGAGATGGAGAGAAGGTTTTCTGACCTTTAAACACCCTTCCCAGAAATAATGGTGTCTTAGAGCACCTAGAAATGTCGATTTGGAGGGGTTTAAGTTTATAATCTATAAAGGCTTTCTCCTCACCATCCGAGTGTGTGTAAAGTATAGGCTCTTCTCTTTCTTGTGGCATATCCTCAATGGCATTGTTGGAAAGTGCCATATTCCTTCCATCTATATTTGCCAATGGATCATCTGAAGAAAGTGGTTCCAGTAACGTTTCAGAGGCATCTTCTTGGTTGAAAAGAGCTGCAAAGGAATTGGGCATAGTGGGAATGAATTCATTGGCAAAAGGAGAGAGTCTAGATTTTGGCAGCGGGGGGAAGAGGATTGAAAAGGGTTGCTGGTTGTCTTCTAGGCCTTGGAAAGTAACTAGCTGCTTACCCATATCTTCTTTGTGGAGAAAAATAGGTTGTGCATCATTTCTGATGTCCTCCTCAATCCGAGCCAAAGGGGAATTATCTCCTGGGATTAGAGGAGTGTTCTCCTCCTCCTCAAGATGTAAACCAGATTCTGCATCAACCAAGCAGTCTGAACTTGCGTTGACCTCCTCCTCCCCAGAATTTGATTGACATCCAGGTATATCTTTTTCCAAGTCTGTGGAATGAGGTCGATTTAGGGGAGGGCCTTCAGTGAGAGTATTAGGCAGTGGTTTCTCCTGTGACAATGTTGAATCTTTGGTGACCTTCTCCAAAAAGAAAGACAAAGCCTTGTAGAGCAGATCGAAATCATTGTTTCTACGACCAACCGGAATTAAAATGAATCTCTTCCCTTCCCTTCTCTTTTCCAGAATTTTAATGTAATCCCCTCTTCGATTTGAGCCAGCAGAGAGTTCGATGGTGCGGTTAGCACCAAAAAAGAACAGAGCCCAAGTTCTATTTACACAAATTCTGGGGAGAGACTCTAAAATCCATCTAATACTTTCCAAATCAAACCAAAGGTGGTATTTCCTAAACCCACATTCCGTTAAACAGAAATTTTTGTTGTAATGAGAATGGAAGAGCTCGAATACCTTGTTCTGCATTTTAATGGTGAATCTAGAGTTACGAATTGGTTCTGAAGAGAGGGATGGTCGGATGAAATCATGTTGGGCCAGACGAGAGCTGCTGAATATATAGGAGTCAACCAAATCTCGCGTTTGTGGGGATCTAAAAGGCCATCTTCTCCGCCACTTCCTAATGGTAAGGGCCTCCCTGCCATGACCTTCGTCTTTGGAGTAATAATAAGATCTGTCCCTTCCAAAAGAAAAATGATGAGGGCGCCGGACTTGATGGGAGGAATACCCGAGACCGCCATAGAATCCGATGTTGAGGTCTCGGTGATTGTAATCGCCAGGAAATCGCCGGTGGCCGCTCCTCCTTCTCTCTAGAAACGGCATCATCCTTTTTCCATTTATATATATATATATATATATATGTGTGTGTGTGTGTGTGTGTGTATATATATATGGGATTGACTCCAGTGAGATGACACCTTACGGTGAGATGACATGCTTCGGTCAGATGACACAAAGCTCACCACTGGTCACTGCAAAGCTCACCAAAGACAACTACAAAGCTCACCAAAGTGTAAGGCAAAGCTCACCATATTTTTTCAACACTTTGAATTTTTTTCCCAAAAAAAAATCAAAGGAAAGGGTGCTGACTGGACTTTGACGGTTGACCGCAGCATTAACCTCCACCTGCCACCGGCCACCGCCGTCGTCGGGCTCTGGCCGCCACTGCTGCTCCGCCGCCCTTGACCGATGGTTGACCGGTGTTGTTATTTTATTTTTAATTAATTTTTTAATTTTTAAAATTTAAAAAAAGGTGAGTTTTGGGGTTCAAAGTGGTGAGCTTTGCTTTATTTCCAGGTGAGCTTTGCATTGTCCATTCGTGAGCTTTGTAGTGTAGTGTGATGAGCTTTGCTTTATTAGCTTTTTTTTTTTAAAAAAAAGTGATGAGCTTTGCATTGTTCCTTGGTGAGCTTTCCATTGACAGTTAGTGAGCTTTGCATTGATAGTTGGTGAGCTTTACACTTTGACCACCCATGACCAATGTCCACCACCGATGACTCCCACCGTTGCCGTGGACCGGTGATTGAGCGGTGGTTGAGTGGTGGCTGAGTGGTGGTGTTATTTTTTTAACTTTTTTTATTTAAAAAAAGTGGTGAGCTTTGCATTGACAGTTGGTGAGCTTTGCATTAGTAGTTGGTGAGCTTTGCATTGGCAGTTGGTGAGCTTTCATAAAGGAACTCGTTGTATAGTTTCCATATATTCCAGCAGATGAGACCTGGCATCAGGAAACGAAGGGTCCCTTTTATGCTTCCTTTATTTGAGGAGAACCACCAGCTAAGTATCATTTGTTGGATCATGGGGTTTCCTTGCACCGTAGGAGAACCAAGACATGTTGAGTAGGCTTTCCAGATTGGTGAGATCATCTTGCAGTTTAGAAATATATGGTGTTCATTCACATTCCCTTCCATGCAGAAGGGACACTGTGTATTAGTCATTACACCCATGCGTTGGAGATTGTTTGGGAAGGGGAGTAAGTTGTTGAAAAGACGCCAAAGGAAAGTGCTGATTTTACCCATTTGTCTCTTATCCCAGATGTAGACACAAGTTGCTTGTTTGGGCTGATGATCATAGGTAAGAGAGTAGGCCTTTTTGAAAGAGTATGCTCCAAAGGTCCAGTTTGCCCCTTCTGTGGACAGTCTGTAATGAGGCATGATAGTTGGGGTGACTTGACAGATGGATTTCCAGGTATAAGAGTCATAGGCCTTAGGGGAGAAAAGACCATCTCTAAACTATTTATGTCTCATGTACTTGCTCCAAAGAGAGTTTCCCTGGACTACCTTCCACCAAAGGTCAGTGAAAGCGGCGTCTTGGCAATGTGTGA